TTAGTATATACTAAAACAGTGGATAGTGTTTTGGCTACTCAATCAGTGAATTGACTATTTTCTAATTGCCCATAATACACTCTGTTTGCCCCCCAAATTTTGCATAACTTATTGTCTTAAAATGCTCTTGGGAAAATGCAATACTCCTAGGAGCATTTAAAAACAATGGTTTATGCAGAATTTGGGGGGCAAACAGAGTGTATTATGGGCAATTGGAAAACAGTCAATTCACTGATTGAGTAGCCAAAACACTATCCACTGTTTTAGTATATACTAAAAGCTGTTATCACCTGGGAACGAGTTCTTGATACTTGGTCCCAGTGCTCCGTCTGACGCCTGACTACTTCTGTGATTTTCATCAATGTTGCAATGTCAGAAACATTCTAATACCTTTTGAAGGTATTCTGATGGTATTGATGTCCATAATGACTTCGAAACATCTTCAAAGTGGACTGGAATTTCCCAAATTATGAGGAAAGATTCCGACTTCCGTTTTTAATAGTAGTGGACGCACTATTCACTGATTCACCTCCAATTCCTCCGAGCGAGAGACGCCAAACTCGCGTAAGTTGCAAAATGCCTTCCCGGTTTGCTGCCGTAACAAACAAAGAAATTTCACAACTAATCAAGCAAGCTGTTTCCGAAATACTCGAAGAAAGTGACGAATCTCGGGGTGGAAGTTTTTCACAGGTAAAGCTTTGTCTTTTTGACTTGAATTTATCGATAAAAGCGGGGAAAAGGTTTTGTTGTTTACAAATGCAAATTAAGTTTAAGTCTTGCGTTACTTTTTTTAGCTGACTTGTTCATAAATAAGCTTCAAACTAAATCTAATAATCCTTTTTACAGAATGATTTTAAATACAAAAAGAATTCACAACTCCTTTTGAGGAAATTTCCCCGCAAGAGCTAAACAAATGCCTTCAAAAGTTTTATTTGCCGGCATAATAAAGCGACGACAGCGGCCGTTCGGTCATTGCGCGCCAAAATTGTAATCGTTGCAGGCAATAGTAAATGAGTTAAAAATCATCATTTTTGGGCTCAATTATCTCACTGTTTTAGTATATACTAAAACACGCGGCTTCGGTAAATATCCATCACTAGCCACCTCCACTTCGATGAATAATTGTTATGTATAAGTATAGGTAATAGCATGATTTCTAGTGATATTTGGCATAAATACCACTCGTGATATTTCGAAATTGTTAAATTTGAGACAATTTTGAAATATCACGAGTGGTATTTATGCCAAATATCGCGTACAAATCATGCTATTATTTGTTTATACTACTACCCGCAAATGGTTTGTAATTTTCACATGCAGGTATTTCAAATAAAGCTGAAATACCACTGCTCTAAGCCAATCAGATTGCAGAAATTTCTCATGTAGTAGTATAACCGATGTAATTTTATGGTAAATGTACTGTATTTACCTTTTGCTCCATCTGTAGCGGTATATCGCTAAATATGTGCATGTTTAAAGCTAAATAAACGTTGTCTTACCTTACCTTCGGTAAATTGTCGTCCTCTTGCCTGAGAAGTGATCAGAAGTGGTACGTATTTTGAGCGATTTTTGCTGAGAAGAGAAAATGCGTCTCGTTTCCTGTTTTTTTTTTTCCTGTACCCTTTACAAGAAATAAGGTACTTTACTATCTGATAAAATGTTTTGAAATCAAAGTTTGATCCATTTTAGATCGATAAACAAAAAGATAGACCTCGTTTAGGCGATGAGAGACTAGAAAAGACTCCAGAAGGAAAGACTTAGTTATTACCCGACATTTTCAAGTTGCTTACCACGATACCGCAAAGTCAAAGGGAAATAACTTATGATAACTGAAGAAGTTATAGAACACAGTCCGACTTCAGTAGAATTACAAACTAAATAAACAATAAAAAAATTGATTGAATTATTCCTCTCTGACAATAATCACCGCGGATAAAATTATATAATAATACATTTGAAGGAGTTTGCAGTATTCCAAAGTATTCCGATTTCACGATGTCCGTCAAACGTAATAGAGAGTTATAAGAAACTTGACTCGTCGTCAAATTTGTATTTTTTTCTTCTTCGTTCAATCCTGGAAATGTCAATGCCGCTCCTTGTCCCTTAAAGCGCATTCAGGAAAATGTTTTGATATCGCTTGCTTTGGTTCAAGAAACCAGTGAAACCAGTGTCCAATGCTGACGTGTGTCTATTTCTTCGTTCAAGGCAATTTGATCTTGAACCTTTGATCGTAAGGCGCACAGCTAACAACATCTTTCTTGATTTTTAGCAGATTTTTAACTTTATAGCGGAGCTCCATAGCTAAGGAAATGTGGTAATCTACCCATCCGAGAAAATTTGGTAATCACGTGACCGTACACCGAGCGAGCGACCGTCCGTCCGCACCACAGGCATACCAATGTAAAATAACTCAATCAACAGGTATAGCAACCAAAATGCAACTCAAGGTTTTATTTAGAAGAAAAAACGACAACAAAGTCGTGTCTTTTTCGGCGTTATTTTTTATGTTTACAATGACGTGGACAACAGAGAAAGAGCCAGAGCGAGTTATTGAAAACAATAGGAGACCAATTTCGTAGGAGGAAAAACATGGAAATTCAAAGCGGCGGTGAGAAAATAAGAAATGCTCGCGGCCAGCAAGGTGAAAATGAGCGGCAATGAAAAATAGGAAACAAAATATTGGGTAAGCACATACGACAATTCCTCCATACAAATAATGTGTAACTAGGAAGTTTGACGTTTTAGTCGTACAAAACAGCGTTGTAGTCGTGCAAAGCAACGGCAAGGGAAAGACAAAAAAGCGTGCAAATTTGTTTTTTGCTAATTAGGAGAAAAAGTGTGCTGCACGTGCAATTTGTTTTTTTGCTAATTAGATCTATTAGTCTTGAAGCCATTTTCATTATCGTCCCCGTTTAGCATTATACGATTTAAGTTTTTTTGTTTACACGTATTATTAACCAGAGCTTCGCTTTTAGCCCTGGCTAAATCTATATATTACTCCTCTCCACGTCGAAAACCCGTACTCATTTTCCCACCAAACAAAACATGACTAATCTATTTATATGATTTATGTTGCTAAACCTGGCAACAACGCTGATAACTCTTCGTGAAAGATTAATGCTTAGGAATGATAGCGGATTTAGCTAGAGATCAGAAAATCAAAATTCCCACGCTGCCATTACATACAAGCTCTGCAATACACGCACTAGTGGAGGGAGGTTAGAAGGAATATTTGCCGTTAAATTTATACAACTTATACCAATGTCGCTATACAGATGTACTCGTCAAGAAAATGTTTTCCACTATAACTGAAAGAAATAACATTTTAAAACCCAAAGCACTTTAGAAGGTGTTGTTTGCGCATTTTTGCTTTGCGTGACTCATTTCCACCACAAGAGCAAAGAATCGAAGTTTTTAAATGTTTTGTTACTGATACTTATTATCCATCAGAATTAGAAACTGAAATAATTCAATTTGTCGACCAGGGACGGATCTCTGTAGCTGATGATCAAAGATGGAAATTTGTCAAGAATCAAATAAAGCCGAAACAAAGAACAAGTTTCGAAGTTTCAAATGGGGTCTACTGAAAGACTCCTTCCGCGGTTCCTTCCGCGTGGTACTGTAAGAAAAATAAAGAGTCTTAACTCTTACCTGAATTATTAAACTTGGGGATTGATTTCAGAAACTGAAGTCAGTCAATAACAGAAATGTATGAAATGAGGACAACTGAACGCGTTTAAGTTTAGTATTGGTAATAAAGACTCCCTCGACATAAGCGAACTTTCAAGACACTAAAAATTCGTTTGACTGACTTGTTCAGTTTTTATTAAGTTATCAAACATTGATTTCCATGATCATGTTAACGAATATCCACATTTGGATTTGCCTTGTCTATAAAAAAATACCAAGGCTCACCGATGAATGCAGTTGCGTAGTCTCTTTCAACTAACCATGATTCATAAACAGAGTGGATACCAGAAGTAATGATACTATAAACAGCGTGTGATTGATGATATTAACAATTCAAATTTTAAATCTGCGAACAAAGCTTTTAATTACTATTTGGTAAACTTGCCTGAACACAAGAAAAACAAAGAAAAGTGACATTTCTGTTTGTTAAGAGGTTGAGCTTCATTTACAAATGTGTCAGAGATGAACAATAAGCTAACAATATAGCCATCTTAAAATATCGAACATTAATCAAGATAAACTGGACAAAACAAGAACAGATTATAAGGAAACTCAGAAAATTTTGGATGAATCAAATAACTATTTTCTATGGAATATTGTGGTTCACTGAATACTGTCAAAAAAAGACGACTGACATCAATTTTACCGGTAAGAACCATTTTTTTGCCGAGAGAATACTCGAACGATTTAATTTTATTTAACAAATTAGCGTAAACCGGATTTCAAAACATCATTTCATTTACTTACCTTTTCAAGTTAACTGCAGAATGTTTCTATATTTATGTCGATTCGGTTACATTTTTCTGGTTTAGTCTGACTCCCATATCGATCTGACTCCCGTCAGGAGCCGATTATTGTTCCTGTATCCAGTAAAAAAGCCTCCTATGCATAACTCACCGTCCATTCAAGGGTTTTCTGTAAATCGTATGTGAATATTCGATGTTTCTTGGAATCCCAAGGCGATTTCCAAAATTATTCTGGTTTTGTACTCATCAAATTTGGAAGCATAAAATTTCAGTAAATTTCCCCCTACGGTCGGGTTACGGTTTCAAATTTTACCCGTGAAAACACTTTCGCGGGTCTAAATCAGTACACACTGAAGAAATATTCTACCAAGCAATTTTCAAACTCATTATTTCTGAGCCTACACAATTTCAAAACATAGCTTCATTCCACATAATAATTGGCGACTATGCACCAAAACTAGCTCTGTTGAAATTTTACCAAAATTTAGGTCTGTTATGGGTAAGCTTTTTAAATCTGGGCCACAATTTCTCGAACAAAATTCAGAGATTTTTCGTTGTGCTTAAGTTCTCTAATAGATCAGCTGTGGAGAAAATCGTAAGGTTTATTAGTATATACACACTCAGTGATTTTGGTAATTCAAGCAATCTGATTGTATATCTCGGACTGTGACGTTATATTCACCACAAAGCAGAACAAAATCGCTGTCGTGAACTGGGTGTTTTGCCAAAGTTTCATAGTAAAGCCTTTTTGAAAATACACGAATATCCAAGTGCTGATGACTATGAAGGCAAGAAAAGAATTCATGGTGTTTAAACAGCGTGATTTACTGTGAAGTGGTTTACTGTGGCTGACTTTTTGTACGCTCGAAGCTATGTTTACCACTACAGAGGAAAACGAGGTCGCTTTCTCACTATTCAACAATATTAACTTCGCCTTCGGCGAATAATTGTTAAATATCAAAAGAATGAAATTCTATTACAAAGCTTATAACCGACAGTTAATTCTGCAAGAAGAAAATGAAATAACCAACTGAATGAAGTCATTTCCCAAATCCAATGAAATTGAGACTCTTCACCATTTATCAAAGATAACAGTGAATAGGCGAAAACGAAATCCAAAATCCAAATCTGATCTATAGGATCGTTTCTAATTCCCTCCTTTTGAATCATCTCATCTTACATCAATTAGTAGCATGTATATCTACCCTAGCTAGTGCATAACACTTCCCACAAATTTTGTACAATTGTTGTTTGCTAGATACGTGTATGACCATGGACAGAGGTTTACGACTTAGGCTAAATGAAACACTTTGTAAACATCGAGGACTATCTAGTCAGAGCAAGTAGAGAATCAATCTCGGTCGTATCGAGTCAGGACGTTTATTCGAACGTGAGTCATAAAATAGTTTTAATAGGATAACTCTGATCAACAAAACCAAAAGTATTGTTAATCCGACAAACGGTTATGGTGGTCGTGATGACAAATTCGAAGCACGAAGCATGAGCTGCTACACACCACAAATGGTGAGTCTTTGAGCAACTGTGTAAGATTATTAAAGCTAATTTGTTTCACTGAGATTATGTTCTGGCTGGAATTAGAATGAACCAGAATGGATAATGGCCACTAAGACGGGAAGAGAGTTTGAAATTATGAGGATGATAATGTACCACTCTTTCAATTCAGAGGTCAGTTTAGGGAAATAGTTTCCCTAGTTGATATCATCTCGCGATATCTCAGCCTGCAACGTTTCTTTCAACAGTTATGCCTTGGGTTATATATAAATAATCGCACTTGGATTGAAAAAAAAAAATCCGCGAACAACATCAATTTATTTCTTGTAACAGTTAACGTGTAGTTCAGAAATCATGCAAAAAGGTCTTTCATTGGGCGCACCGATTACTTAGCAACCTAATATTTCCGCACGCGAATGAGATTGAAATTAGAAGATACGTAGGCTGTTTAGTGAACTTGTTTTGACCAGAATCGTAACCAAACAAGGAAATTCTATGATTCAGTCTGACCAGCAGAGTTGGTATGTACAGTGTTCTTCTTTTTCTCTGGCTTTATTATGTTTCTTTATTTCTTCTCTCTCTCAGTTCTCGTAACTTTCATGAAGACAGAGCACCATGCTAGTTGAGGAATGAAACTGGCAAACATGGTAAATCATACACACGCAAAAAGTGCTTATATCTTCTTACGCCCATAGTAAAATGTCTGCTGTTTTTAAAACATTACACGTATCAGAGTAGAAATGACTCTTCAATATAATAAACGGAACGATTTAAGGTAAAATGTCAACTAAGCACCACTTAACAATCATTTACCATGGTAAAAAAGAAAGAATTTTCCTTCAGAGTCCAATGAAATTTAATATTTAATTCAAGCTTCCTTATCAAACAAATCTGAATATAGTTCAGAATAACTGCAGCATTTCGTATTTGGATAAACTGTTGTGTTTACCTCCGAAAAGAGAAATTTTCGAATTTGGATGTGGTTAAGTTATGTGCTTTATTTTGGATACGTACAGAAATGAACGACGGATTTGCAATTTCTTTTTCTCTTGTACTTGTAACTTCTAATTGTACTTCGCTTGGGTTTGCAGTAATATAGTATGAAAAATTCTAATTTAAACAACGACAGACTATTCTAAGACTTAGTCTTGCAATTTGTCCTCTGTTAATTTTTTTCCCTCTGTACAAGCTAACGGCTGAGCTGACGGCCATCTTCGTGAAGCTACAACACCGGAACAAAAGATCGTCCAGTGGTTAAAGGACAAAACTGAGCTATACTTAGGGATAGACCCCACACGATATAAAACCTTAATAAAGATAATGAATGATGTTGTGGCCTGTAGACTCCCGGCCATGGGACAAAAGCATGATCTGCACAGGAACCCAATTATTGAAAAACACAAAACACGAATTTCCTCATGTTAAGCCAAAAGAACGAATCAAAATGCTCGAAGTCTTTTACGTGTGAAACTTAATAACTGGGGCATAATGTCGTTAAAACTTGTTTTAAAAACGTGAAACGTTAAGCAATTATTGCAGGAGAGATAAATTAACTTGTCGCGATAATCATTGCTATCATTTGGCTTTGGCAATCGTCAAACGAAGGTAATTTTACTTTAAAATACGTTGTTACGGTCCCCGAGATTCCATAGCATCCAGGCCGTTCATTCCTTCAAAGGCATATCTTGAATATGAAATATAGCTTTAATCTTATTTATTGTAATCTTAATTAAACTAACCAAAATATTTCATACCATGATCAAACTTTTAGTGCACAAGTTAGAGGACCTTGATGTTGCGATCACGAGTTAAAGTGACCACCATGTTATTTGTACTGATTTTATTGCTCATGGCCACTTCCTGCACTGCTAAGGACAACAAACCACCAGACACCAAGGTAACTACATTTATACCCGTAACCACTACACATTGATTATATTTGATTACCGTTGAATAAAGTTAGTTTATGGAGAAAACTAGGAAACAAGGAAAAACGTATCGTGTGGCGTGTAATATAAATAAATGTACCTAATTTAAACAAAAATTAACATGGTATGATTACTTGTACATCCTCAGCAGAAATCGATCGATATTTTGAGAGGAGAGAAAACATTTTTACCCTTAAAAAAACCCGCAAGTTACCGTGTTTATATCAATTTGGTAGATACTTATAGCTTTTTTGTAGGAAAAATTAATTTCTTTAATCGTAATTTTCGATTTCATTAAAGAAACACAAACCAAAACTTTCAGACTTAAAGAAGATCAGTAATTACTTCCTTATCTGCATTAAAACGTTTGATGACAGATAAAATTGTCAAGTACGACTACCAGTTTGTTATTGTTGGCAGCCTGTTCAATCTTGTCCATCTTGTAATAATGGCGGACAAACCGGGATGTGGACATACATGACATGCGTCCCAGGAGCCCCTGGGGCACCTGGTAGTGATGGAGCCAAAGGAGACCTGGGAAGCCCAGGGAAAACTGGGACCCAGGGACCACGTGGTGCTGACGGAAAGAAAGGAGCAAAGGGAGAACCTGGGATCCAGGGTTCCACCGGACATAAAGGAGAGCGAGGCGACAAAGGCGACAGTGGGACGACACGGCTGGCTTCACACATGAACTGGAAGGAGTGTGCTTGGAAAAAGGAATACAGCACAGATTCAGGACTGATATATGTAAGTGCGGATCGTCAGTTTGTTACCCAAGTTAAATAATATTCTATTAGCTCAAAGCAAGCAATTTTCACTGCAATGATTGATTGCCATAATACTTTGGAAAGCGGTCAGCGATGATGATGGCGGCGCCTTTTGAAGCTTTGTAGTTTTATAGAGCCATATTTAGTTTTACTATACTGTGACCTAATTCTCCATTCTTAATTTCGTTGCCAACCCTATGTAAATGTAGTTATTTTTTTGTCGAAATACCTTGTACTAATTAATATTGTACGACTGATGTGTTATTCTTATTTTTTATAGAATGGAGAAAATAATAATACAATACTATACGGATGCTCTTTCTTTGTGTCTTGTTTAGAACTGTGACTTTGTGAAGAAATACCCGGACTCTTCCCTGCATGTCTACTATGCTGGCAACCTCAGAGTTGGGAGATGTGACCAATGCTGTAGTCGATGGTATTTCACCTTCAATGGAGCCGAGTGCAGCTCTCCTGGAACTATTGACGGTGCATTCTACATGGCAACAGGCAGAAGCCACTATCTTCACCGTCACCGCCACGTCGAAGGTCACTGCAATAACATTCAGAAAGGGAAGGTGCGACTGGGATTCTGGGTTGGAAAATGCTTCACAGGACAAAAGCTTGCTGACGCCCATACTGGTTGGCATTCAATAAATCGTATATTTATTGAGGAAGTACCGAAAGCTCAGCAGTGAGCACGTGTCATACGATGAGCTGGACTTTTTAAAATAGAACTGTGTTAGAGTTGTGTTATGTCTTGACTGGGTAATGAGGTGTGTAAAGCGACGTTTGCTATGAAGTCTGTATCAGCTAAAAATAAAGTCCGGGAGCAACCAATGTTATTTTCAATTGGTTCAATGTCATACGTGCGTACGTTTCCCTCAGTACCTTTCGTGGCATTATAAACTGCCTTTCTCTTTAACTCCCCTAATTCGTCCATCTGAACATTCCATTACGTTTTGCGGCTCTTGATTCTGAACTAAAACCTTTAAGGGGTCACCACCATAATTACATCGGGTCAATAGATGAGGTGAAATTCCACTAAGTATCCTCGGTTATCTTTTACTTCTTTTCTCATTCTTTAAACTCTAAAAATATATATAATATATCTGGCGATTCTTTCAGGGGGAAACGACAAAGTATGATTATTGTTTTGGTCAGTTTAATTTTTCAAACGTTACAATAATTTAGGTAAAGGTATCAACTTTAATATTGTTAGGTCGGTTCTGCACCGTTATTTTAGTTTTTTTTCCTAGAGTCCCAAACAATTGTAACATAGCTCCTTGAACTTTCTTAAATTCAGAAACTATAAAAAGGGCAGCCCACAAAATGATGGATTCTTTCAAACAACACTCAAATGTGACCATACGGCATATTTCAGGTCAGGAAAAATGAACATATGCTGTTATCCTGGCTTCATTAAAGATATGATCGTCGCAGTTGTGATTGCAACTGAGGAATTAAAACAATATCAAAGGAACCATCACACTTGCGACGATCATATGTTCATTATAATTTTTGTACTTCCTCAATTCAAATCGTCATCTTCATAAGTATCCTAATAAGGTCTATACACCTTCCTAAAGAGTCGTCGGTAAAGTAGGCTCAGAAGCGTTTTTGAAGCTGAAGTCAGTCAATAACAGAAAATGTATGAAATAAGGACAAATGAACGTGTTTGGGTTTAGTATTGGTAATAAAGTAAAAGATTCCCTCGGTATACGTGAAACTTTCAAGACACTAAAAGGCCGTTTGACCGACTTGTTCAATTTTTTATAATATGTAACCATTGATTTCCAGGATCATGTTAACGAATACAGGACTTGCCTTGTCTTTAGAAAAAGCCAAGGCTCACCAATGAATGCATGTGCCGTAGACTCTTCCAATTAAACATGATTCATAAACAGAGTAGATACCAGAATTAAGAAGTGATACTAAACAGCGTAGGATTGATGATATTAAATAATTCAAATTTTAAATCTACGAGCAAAAGCATTACTCTTGGTAAATTTGACTGAACACAAGAAAGAGAAAGAAAAGTGACATTTCCTTTTCTTAAGGATGATGAGCTTCATTTACAAATATGTCATTGATGAACGATATAAGCTAACAATAACCATTTTTTTAAAAAAAGATATCGAACATTGATCAAGGTAAACTGGACAAAACAAGAACAATTAGGGAAACTCCAACATTTTGGATGAATCAAGTAACTACTTTCTGTGGAATATTGTGGTTCATTGAAGTCATTGAATACTGTCAAAAGAGACGACTGACATCAAAGAGGGAGGCAGCGGAGGGGGGGTGGGGGTGAGGGAGGCATTGTGGCCGAGTGGTCAGCGCGTCAGACTCGAAATCCGGTGGTCCCGGGTTCGAGTCCCGCTCTGGCCACTTGCTGGATTTGTTGTCGGTCGTCCCGAGTTCAAATCCTCGGCCACGTTTGTAAATAGCCTACTGGTGGCCTCCTGCCAGTTGGGGTTTTAAATCCTGTTATGTTGTATTTGAATTATTTGTTTTCTAAGTATTTACTGATTGTAAAGCGCTTTGGATCACTAAGAGAAAAGCGCTATATAAGTGTACATTATTATTATTATTATTATTATTATTATTATTATTATTATTATTATTATTATCAATTTTATCGGTAAGGACATTTTTTGGGAGAAAATACCTTTATCTCCATTGCCGATCTAATTTTATTCAACAAAATTGCGTAAACCAAAATTTAAATTATCATTCTATTTACATACCTTTTCATGTTAACTGCAAAATGTTTTTATATTTATGTCGATTCGGTTAAGTTTTTCTGGTTTGATCGCTAATACATTGATCTGACTCCCGTCAGGAGCCGACCCTCGGACATACACGCAAGTTTATACCCATGATACCTCCACCGTTTTACAGGGGGGGGGGGGTGGATGGAACCCCTCCCCGGAGTTTTTTTGATATGTTGCAGTATTTTGAAACGATTTTACCTTCAGTGGAAAGCCTTTGATCTTCTTAACAAGATGAGCTATATTTCATGGGTAGTGGCGCTGCGGGAGGTCTGTGACGTCACCAACAATGGTCGCCATCTTGAATTTTACCAGGACTTAGAAATCAGGTTAAAACCGCGATAAATCGTAATTTTTTGTGCTTTACATGAACAATAACACATAAATAAGCACTCTGTATGATTTTAGCCACAAGATTTACTTTTATTGTTGAAAAAAGTTGAAAAAACATGTATTTTCACCCAAAATTGGCTTGACCACCTGCTGTTTATGACGTCATATCTCGTAACCATTGCAACTGATCATCACTACACTTGTCTCAAAATTTGCGCGAGGGATGAACCACAGAGAACCCGAACGCTGTATTATCTAATAGAAAAATTAGATGTATTTACACTGTATTAGCTAACAAAATAATAATATGTTTTTACCTTTGTTCCTGTGAATTTATGGGTCGTTTTGGAAGGGATTTGAATCCGATCAAAGACGGTTAACATAATTTGCTCGTTATCAAATGCGTTTGCTTGTCTGGCGCGTCGTAAATAAGACGCTCAAGTTTCGTCTCGCGTTTCTAATATTGTTAACTATTAACTTTCCTCTTCTCGTGACCGTTCAGTTGAAACATGAGATCATCTCCCAAGGAGATCGAGAGTTAATGGTTAGCAGGACAATAATTAGAAAGGTGAGACGACACTTGAGCGTCTTATTTACGAAGGGCCAGACAAGTAGCCTCCCCGCAGACGTCCTTTAGGGTTCGTTTGTCACGCATTCATTTCTCCCCCACGGACGTCTGCTAAACACATTTACGTTCTGGATTGTTTGAATAAGCCAATAAGCGGTTAGTTATTGTGTCACGATCAGCCAATCACGGGCTGTGATATAAGTGAAGCGGCACCTAGGAATTATTTTTCGCTTTTTCAGAGGAATATTTATTCCATGCCTATGCATGGATGAGACTCCGCAGAAGGTTATAAGAAGCGAATTTTTTTTGTTTTCTTTGCAGCTGTAATTTAGGAAAGGGCCAAGTTCGTGTGTTTAGAAAAAGCGCGGACGTCATCGCAAGGCTCATCAAACGTGCTCTGGACGTTGACGTTTCTTTGTATTCTTCAAGTGAATTATTTATTTGCACAGCTATCTTCTACCTGAGACGACTCAAACGTTTTGAAAAAATAACAGAAATGATGCAATAAAGCTGTAGTCAGCTGTATAGTTTTTTCGGAAGTTGTTGTAAGTATAAAATAATCTGCTTTTCTTCGAAAGACTTCAGAGAACAGTCTCCCACACGAGCGCGGAGCGGTTTTCAGCGCGGTCGAAACCAATACTTACTATTAACTCTGTATATATTCGAAGTATTCAGAAAAGAGAACTTGTAAACGTGTATAGGGAAGATTTTCAAAGCATTCGTCGAAAACAAAGGCCGTTTCCTTTTTTGCGAAATGTAATTCCTCCAAGGTCATGGGTCGAGGACCAAGGACCACTACGAGAAATTTGGTTATATTTTTTTCAAGAGTCGGTAAAACAAAAATTAAATTCGAAGTCTACAGCAATGTGCTTCTAACGGCAGAAAAATGTTGATCTGAAAACTTGTTCTGCAAAAAGTCACGTCTTCCCGTTGCGTATTTATTCACAAGCTAAGTAAACATGACCACGGTGCCGCCGAAGTCCAAACTTCAAGCTAGAACGATAAACTAACCTACCTCTCAACAAACTTTAATCTCGCTCCTTCAAAGAAAGAAAGAATGCTTATAATCAATAAATCATTGAACATTCCATTGTTCATCGTATTTTATTTCTCGACGAAATATTTAATCATGCTCGGGAAAGTCGCGGACCAAGGACCACATACTAACTGTACAAGTCACTCGCTAACATTTCCTCCACCGATCGATCTTCAACCAAGCTTCTGGAAAGTCCCTCTCTCGACAACCCTCATATTCTCTTTGCTAATATCACTGAGCGTTACAGAAGGAATACCAATAGCTTCCAGCTTTTGTAGCTTGATCTTCCAAGATTTACCAGGGGCGAAACAACAACAACAATAATGTCCAGTAGTTCCACGCACTGTGTCGCAAACAAGCAGCAAAGCTTGATAGATAAGGGATTTGCTGAATCCCGTCGGCAAATTTATGAACTTATCGGTTTTCGCTATAAAATTTGCAGGATAGCTTCTCTCTGATACTTGTTTAACTCTGTATTCATTACAAATTTCTCGCACACCCGATCAAAAGCCTCACTGACCGTCAGAAGCGGCTCGGGTTACGTTTTACAAAAATCGGTAAACGGCCTGTGATTGGTGAACGTAAATGTCGGCTGTGTTTAGCAGACGTCCGTGGGGGAGAAATGAATGCGTGACAAACGAACCCCAAAGGAAGTCTGCGGGGAGGCTACCAGACAAGCAAACGCATTTTGATAACCAGCAATGTTAACCACAGGTAGCCCAAGCTCGGAATATGAGCATCGGCGAGCATCGGCATTGTTGCGTAACATTCAAAATATAAGGATTTGTATGGGAAAGAAAACTATCGTTTCTGTAACCTTCGAAAATGAAAGGATTTCAATAAAAAACAGCTTACCTAACTTAAAATGTGTGTTACGTCTCTCCTGTGTGGTCCACGGGCCGATTTATGGCCGTTTTATGGGTTTTTATGTAAACGGTTTTCTCTAAAGTTTACCAAGGTTGGCCACTCCATCGAAGCGGCTCGACTGATCCACCGAAGGAAAACGGCCGGAAATTCGCTCCAACTGCTCCAATCGCCTCCAAATTCTGCCTAGGTAACACACGATAGTTCTTCTTTCCATTCGTTATCTTGCTTCAAGACTCCTTTGCACCGAGAGCGAATCAAAGGTCGCAAGTCTCTGCAACCTTTCCCGTGTGAAGCCATCGACTGAGGCTCGGCCTGAACTCCGCGTTACCGTTGACAGCTAGCGACACGGCCTGAGATTCAAATTACTCACACTCGGGGAGGGAGACAGTCTCTTGCTCCCGTTGTTTTCCTATTGTGTCAACCTTGGTAAACCTTTATATAGAGAGAAAACCGTTAACATAAAAACCCATAGGAGAGACGTAAGACACATTTTAAGTAAGGTAGGCTTATTTTATTGAAATCCTTTCATTTTCGTAGGTTACAGAAACGATAGTTTTTTTTCCCATACAAATCCTTGTATTTTGAAACCTACGCAACTATGCCGATGCTCGCCGATGCTCATATTTCGAGCTTGGGCTACCTGTGTGTTAACCGTTCCTGATCGGATTTAAATCCCTTCCAAAACGACTCATAAAGACACAGGAACAATGGTAAATACATATTATTATTTTATTAGTGAATACAGCGTAAATACATCTAATTTTTCTATTAGCTAATACAGCGTTCGGGTTCCCTGTGGATGAACGAACAGCTACTGAAAACGTCAGGTGCTGATGTTTTATCTTCTAGGAAAAAACTCAGAAAAACCTTATTGGGGGGAGGGGGGCATCCCTCCCCCCTCCCTGTACGTCCGAGGGTTAAAAAAGCTAAGAGTTCCTATACATAACTCATCGTCTATTTAAGGGTTTTCTGTGAATCAACTGTGAATATTCCATGCTTCTTGGAATCCCAAAGCGATTTCCAAAATTATTCTACTTTTGTACTTACCGAATTTGGAAGTATAAAATATTATCACTTACAGTAAATTTCCACCTACAGGTCACGGTTTCAAATTTTACCCGTGAAAACACTTTGAGAACCTTTGACAGCTCTAAATCAGTATACGCTGAAGAAATATTCTAGATATTTCGGTAATTATTAGATTAAATTTACTAAACAATATTAATTATTTTTGAGGATACACAATTTCAAAAGTAAAATTATAATTTCCACACTACTAGTTTCAAAATCCCCAGCCTAATTGGCAACTATGCGCCAAAACTAAATTTGTTGAAATTTTATCAAAATTTCGATCTGTTATGCGTGAGCCTTCAGTGACTGAAGAGTTCTTCAATTTAGGCCACAATTTCTCGAAGAAAATACAGAGATTTTTCGTTGTGCTAAAGCTCTCAAAATTGATCAGCTGTAGAAAAAATCGTCAGGTTTAATATCAAACAAGAGTGGATACTATTTCAAAGCTGACTGATAGTTAATTAATATTCAATAAGAAAAACAATGAATTAAGTAACTGAACTCACATGAAGTCATTTCCCAAATCCATTGCTAAAGGCTTTCTTCATGATTTCGAACGGTAAGCAAGAAATTAACAGTACTATACATCCAGTCCACAAAGCTTCCTGCGAAGAAAGATTTTGTTAACAGTATTGCAAGAGTTCTCTTGTAGTATGGTAAGCGAACATCGGTTTTTCGGAGGATGGAAAAATTGTACATGAAACTGAGACTTTTCACCATTTATTTAAGAACAACGAAAAGGCAGAAAAGAAACCCCAAATACAAAGGTGATCTATATGATCAATGAAATTGTTTATTTGATTTAGAATACATACGTGAACTATGCTGTTTAGTGAGCATCTTTCTGACGATCCCGAGAAACTCATTCAAACAAGGAAATTCTATGATTCAGTCTCTAGCAGAGTGTTGATATGTATAGTGTTCGAAGCTTCCTTCTATTTCTCTGGCTTTAAATTATATGCTTTTTGATTCAATGTTTCTTTATTTCTTCTTTCTGCCAGTTCTCGTAACTTTCATGAAGACAGATCACAAGTTAAGAATGAAAACATATGGCAAACAAGGTAATTCTTTACACGCCACGCGTACACTTTACACTTATCTCCTTCAGCCCATAGTAATGTCTGTAATGTTTCTATAAAATATTCCAAGTACACGGATCATAGTAGGAAATGACTCTTGAATATAATACATAGAACGATATAAGGTAAAATGTCACTAAAAAGTACTACTTAACAATCATTTAAAATGGTCAAAAAGGTTTTCTTTTTCCAATGATAGCAAATGACTTGATTGCTGTTCAGCTTCTCTATCAAACAACAATAAATATAGTTTAGTTTATGTTGTGTTAACTTCCGCAAAGAGAAATGTTCGAATTTGGAGTTTTGTGCTTTATTCTGGCATGGGTAGCGAAATGAACAAAGAAAATTGTACTTCACTTGGCTTTTCGGTAATATAGTCAGTAAATAAATAACGACAGATTATGCTAAGACTCAGCCTTGCAAATTGTCCTCTGTTTATTTTTTTCCCCCAGCACAAGAAGGTGATGAGCTGACGATCATCCTCGTAATGCTACAACGCCGAATCAAGAGGTCGCCTGGCAGTTAAAGGACAAAATTGAGCTATAAGGGACTGTGCAGTAATTACCCGGAGGGGGTGGTTGGAAAATTAGAGGGGACATACGAGAAAATGACAACAAGAGAGAGGAGGGTTGGATGTAAAATTTAATACATACAGGGGGGCATTACTTTTTCATTCCTTTTTGCAAACTGGAAAAGTAGTGGAAGAGTTATTAGAGTTCAAATATAAATACTAACATTGGAATAAAACTGACAAATTTATCAACCCTAAGGTGTTCTGATCTATGAACAGTTGTTTTCCTATCTGCCATGCAGTAGGAAAGGAATGCCTCTTCACTGAAACAGTCCAGAGTAAGCTCAATCAGAGTCAGCTCAGAGTCCATTGATTCTGATGACTCTTCAAATGACTCTTCGACATACGTCGAAGAGTCATTTGAAGTGATGTTTGTACCGGGGGTGAGGGGGAGGGGGTTAGCCTTAATATTATCATTATGTTAGGGGAGGTTGAAATTAATTTTTGGTTAATGAGAGGGGCGGTATGACTTAGTTTTGGGGCCTATATTTCACCCATATTCCCAGCCCCCTACCCCCCACCCCCCAGGTAACTATTATACAGTCCCTAATTAGGGACAGATCCTACACGAAATAAAACCTTAATAAATATAACAATGATGTTGTGGCTGGTAGATTCTCGACTTTGGAACAAAAGCATGCTCTGCCCAGGAACTCAGTTACTTAAAAACACAAAACACGGATTTCCTCATGTTAAGCCAAAAGAACCAGTTAAAATGCTCGACGTCTTTTACGCGCGAAATGTAATAGTTGGGGCATGATTTCGTCAAAACTTCTTTAAAAAAGCGTGAAAAGTTAAGTAATTATTGCAAGAGAGATAAATTAACCTGGCGATAATCATTGCTATCATTTGGCTTTTGTCAATTCTGGAAGAAGGTAAGAGTGAAGTTCAAAAGACGCTCTAACAGTCTTTAAGACTCCATTGCATTCAAGCCATTCATTTTTCCAATGCATATCTTAAGTATGAAATATAGCGTTAATCTTATTATTGTAATTGTAATTAAACTAACGAAAATATTTTATACCATGATCAGACGTTTAGTGCACAAGTTAGAGGACCATCACCACCATGTTGTTTGTACTGATTTTATCGCTCATGACCGCCTCCTGCTCTGCTAAGGACAACAAACAATCAGACACAAAGGTAACTGCATTCATATTCACTACACATTTTTTATTAGAGTTATATTAATTTTTAAATTAAAAGAAGAAAACTAGCAATAACGTATCACGTGATTATTTTACTAAATCAGTCTGCAGGTTGATAAATGGTCAAAATGATAGTATGATTACACTGTACTTGTGCAACCGATCGCTATAGAGAAAGAACATTTTCACGTTTAAAACAATCAAAATTATCGAACAAGTAACATTATTACTGACGTGGTGAATACTATAACATATCTTACTAAAAGATGGATTGCTTTAATCACCATTTACGCGTTCATCTAAGAAACCCAAATTAACGAAAATCAGTAAGCACTTCCTCACCTGGATGACAGACAAAATTGTCCAAAGCAAGGACCCCCCCCTCCCCCCCCCCCCCCCCCACCCCCCCCACCACCCCCCCCTCACCCCTTCTTTCTTTATTTTTTTTTTTTTTCTTTTTTTTCTTTCTTTTCTTGTTACTTTATCTATCTTCTGCACCCTGCACGCATCGTGGCGCGGGCGCGGTCCGCGCGGTGGGGGTGTTGTGAATGTCGTTCATGCGTTTGTTCTTTCCAACTTAACGTTTTTTATTTTTTATTTCACCGAGAGGGAGGAAAACAAATTTGTGCTGAGGAGGGGCCCCCCCCCCCCCCCCCCCCCGGTCAAAAGATACTAACACTTTGTCTTTAAATTTTCTGTGTTTTTTTTTTTTTTTTTTTACGATGTGGACATACATGACATGTGTCCCAGTAGCCCCTGGAACACCTGGTCGAGATGGAGCCAAGGAGACCTGCCTGTGGGAAGCCCGGGGAAAACTGGGACCCAAGGAACATGTGGTACTTGCGGAAAGAAAGGAGCAAAGGAAGAGCCTGGGATCCAGGGTTCCACAGGACAAAAAGGGGAGCGAGGGGACAAAGGCGACAGTGGAACGCCACGACTGGCTTAACATGCGAACTGGAAGGAGTACACTTGGAAAAGATTGGACAGAAAAAATTCAGGACTGGTATATGTAAGTGAGCGACGTCACTTTTTCACTAGAATTAAATTATATTCTACTAGTTCAAACAAAGTAATTTTCACTAAAAAGATTGATTGTAATAGTGCTCAGATGCTTTTAAATTTCTTCATATGTTCTTCAGAACTGTGACTGTGAAGAAATACCCGGACACCTCCCTACATGTCTATTATGCTGGTAACCTCAGGATTGCCTTATGTGACAAGTGCTGTAGTCGCAGGTATTTCACCTTCAATGGAGCCGAGTGCAGCTCTCCAGGAACTATTGACAGTACATTCTACTTGTTAATGGGCTGAAACCATAATCTTCACGGTCACCGCCACATTGAAGGTCACTGCAATAACATTCAGAAAGGAAATGTTCGAGTAGTATTCTGGGTTGGAAAGTGCGTCTCAGACCATAAGCATGCTGACGTCCAGACTGGTTGGCATTCACTGAGTCGTATTAAAAGTTGATTAAACCGCTATTTATTTGTTTGTTTGTTTGTTTCTATGCTTTGTTTTGACGCGTGCTTTAATTTATACTGAGTTTGAACGCCAAGATGGCATTATAGAGACTGACTGTGATCTGTTCAGGAAACGAGATGATAACGAAAATGTTCCAGAGGGGGAGAAGACGTGGTTATTATAATTCTGTAATATGTGTATGTGTATGCGTTGGTCTCCAGTCGGGTCAATTAAAAAGTTTAAAAATTTGTAGGATGATGCCAAAGTACGGTAAAACCCTGCGATTAAGATCCTGGATTTTTCCAAGTTGACCTAAACAGGTTCTTATATAAATGGTAGTTATCGCACAAGTTTAGCCTATTTAGGTTCCTCATTTTCATAAGAAAAAAATACAATATAGCTAAGAGTAATTTAGTGATTCAGCTTATTCCACCATTGCATGACAGCCGGAATGATAAGTAACTCCACGCTGGCACTGGTGGCATTCACAAGTTTCTCGGCTTTTTAATTATGTTAGTTTTTCAAAGTCGCATTTCGAATTAGTTGTTCGTAGTGAATACTAGAAACAGCCTAAAGAGCCTAGAAGTGTCGAGCGATTCAGATCTATCAGAAGTAGAGCCGTTTATTACTCAATCTAAAGCAGCTTTAATGGCGGTACTGGAATTGAGCTTTTGGAAAACAATTTTTTTGAATCTTCATTTGCGGGTGCAGACAACCAGCAAGCAGTTGACAATTTCAATTTTCGCACCAATAATCTTTCGACCGACCTGCATGTTTACAGATAATGAAGATTCCGGGCGAGGGTTCACTACCGTAACTGAGAAGGAAATTCAGTTGAGGAATGAAGCAAGAATGCCACAAAACACAAAGAGGTCAACTACATGTCTTCATGGAGTAAGCGAGTTTGGGATGACTGGGAAGAACGGAACACCTTACCATGACAGCGACACTTTCGTGGAACCGTAGAATTTTAAAGACGCTGAACATTCAATTTCTGACTGTCGTTCTCGTTGTGGAAATCGATGAACCAACAACTGAGAAAATCAGTGAATGTGGCGCAAAAGAAACGCAGCTCAGTTTAATTTTAGTAATTATAGTGTCATGTTTAATATTTCCAACACGAATTGCCGAAAGGCGATTTTTAACTGGGCTGCAAAGGGGCTACTTTTTTCTGAGGGGAGGGGGCGGCTATACACACTCAGGCTACCATAAAACCTTGTCGACGACCAAAGCATGCGACAGAATCTCATGTGAGACTGAAACATAAACCAAAAAAAGAGTACCATTTTTAAGTGGGGGCTGTGTAATAACTTTTAAATTCCACCATTATGAATAAAAATAAACACGTTATCCATTAATTCTCAGCAGAAAACAATTTGCATTATTTCCAAGCACCCCTCCCCCAATCCCTCTGTGCCCCAAACTATAGCGTGACAGTATAACGTGACTAATTTGACGTAACCGGAAATTCCAAAAATTGTTGTCGTTCTACGAGCATAAAATGCGACAGACTAAGCTGATTTACACTAGACAGAAATATTGTATTTTATGAAAACCAGAAGTATACTAAAACAGACAGTTAACTGCCCATTGATCCCGGCTGATCCAGGGGCCTCACTGACTGCACTGAGACTTTACTGTGCTTTTCACCAGGGGGGGCTGGCAACGGCCTTTGATCTTGCCGCTTTTCGGCTTTCCATGATCGCCCCAGTTAAGAAAACTGTCAATCACTGGAGGACGCACGTGAGCATGTGCACAATCGCGCGGGAAATCATGCAAATGTGCCAACTCAATAAGATAGTTGCTCAGCACCGAATCCTCCACGGCCATGGAAGTTTTGGCAGGAGAAGGATGTGCGCACGGTACTGATGAAGACAGCACGAAATTCTTTACCTGTAACAGTAAGCATATAAGAAATTATTATTATTAGTACTGGCAGTTTTACACGTCTGGATGCTAGTATTAGTAAAAAACACAGAGGTTGGACGTCTGAGCGCAACCAACCCCCGCGCCGTGAAGTATTTCTTATGTAAAAACAAGAATCGACGAAAGGCGATTTTTAACTGGGCTGCAAAGGGGCTATTTTTTCTGAGGGGAGGGGGCGGCTATAGACACTCAGGCTACCACAAAACTTTGTCGACGACCATTGCATGCGACAGAATCTCATGTGAGACTGAAACATAAACTCATTCAGAACATTGTACCTTTTTGAAAGACTTTCGTAACCAGAAAAAGAGTAACATTTTTAAGTGGGGCTGTATAATATCTTTTAAATTCCACCATTATGAATAAAAATGAACAAGTTATCCATTAATTCTAAGCAGGAAATAATTTGCATTATTTCCACGCACCCCTCCCCCAATCCCTCTGTGCCCCAAACTATAGCGTGACAGTATAACGTGACTAATTTGACGTAACCGGAAATTCCAACAATTGTTGTCGTTCTACGAGCATAAAATGCGACAGACTAAGCTGATTAACTGCCCATTGATCCCGGCTGATCCAGGGGCCTCACTGACTGCACTGAGACTTTACTGCGCTTTTCACAAACATGCGAACTCTAAAGTTCAAAAGCCACCTATCGCTGCCGTCAATCATAATTACGATCACAAGCTACGAACCTTGAAACAGAGAAACACACAAAACGGATCGAAATCCACAAATCACAAACCATTACCTTTTGAACCCGTGAAGTAAAGTTTTGTTTCCTAAGAGGTCCGTTAAGATGATTGAGAGCAGCGAAAAACGCCATCGTCGGTTGGCTTTTGAACTTCAGAATTCGCATGTTTGTGAAAAGTGCAGTAAATAGACGATCCTAATTTGCGGTCTACAGTCTATATGAAAACGCACTATTTTTTCCGCAAGATGAAAAATATTCAGTTTTAAGATTTTCCTCATGGTATTTTTCTCTAACTTAAAGGAATAAAATCCTTTGCATTTTGTAACCTAAAAAAGTTTAAAGATTTCTCGCTCGCACGTTGCGTTCATCAGCACGCACTTCAAACAATGTATAAAATAGATGAAACGATCGATAACATATTTTTTACCTGATACCGATATGAGTTACAAATTCGCCCGAGTTGTGTTTGTCTCACCCATGACTAACTTTTCTTCATGGAAGATAACTATGCCGCTTGATAACTCCTCCGAAGTTTTTGTGCCAGCTATGGAAACACTATTCACAGTGACTCCTTGGATATTAAAAAGACTGAACGTGACGCACTATTATGCCTTTGTTTACTTCTTGGTCAGCGGTCAGCGAGCATGATGGCCGCGTTTTTGTTGGCTCTGCCAACTTGACATAATTTCTCACGTAAATCTTACTTTTACTTTTACAAACTACTCAAACAAGTAACAAACAATGTCTTCAAAAAGAGGAAAGCAAAAAGAAGTTGTGGAAGAGGATTTTGAGGCGTTTGTACGCCACCGGTTGAGTTCAATAAGTGACGACCTAAAAGAAATGAAAGGAACTCAAGTCAAGATTCAGAGAGACATTGAATCTCTTCAGGGTCAAATCAAGAAAAATGAAAGCTCGATTTCAAAACTGAAGGAATCTTTGGATACAAAGCTGGAGGTATTAACAGGACAACTGCATGAAGCTAACACAAGAATCGACCAAATCGAGAACGATATCACCAAGTATGCAAAAGAGATCGATGACACCTACGAGAGATTGTTGTCCCTGGAGAGATATTCTAGGGACTACAATCTGAGATTTTACAACATCCCAGAATCAACAGGCGAAGATTGTATTGCAAAGCTCCGTGATATCATAGAAAATGATCTCCAATTGCAATCAAACATCGAGAACGCCCACAGGATCGGGCCCTTCAAGGATGATGGCACTCCCAGACCAATTTTGGCTAAGTTTTTGTATCGTCCGGAACGGTTTAGAGTTATTAAAAAGAAGAGGGATCTACGTGATGGTGTGCGCGTTTCGGATGATTTGATATGGGAAGACCGTCAAAAGAAGAAACAATTGAGATCTGTTATGAAAGAAGCATTTGAAGCTGAGAAAAGACCTTGATTTCATCATGGCAAGCTTTATATCGACGGTGAGCTACATCAGGCTTGAGATGTTTGAACAGTATACACTTTTGTTTATGTGTAAGTCCCATCTTAAATGTCTACATAGCTTTATAATTATCATTTATCTTAAATTGTTTACTTTTAAATTTCGTCAAGCTAAAACTTTATGCAAATGACCCAAGAGTCCTCTGACCCTGATTTAAATTTACAATTGCTAAATGATCATGGGATTTACACAGTTGAAGAAATTAACGAGTTGTCTCGTACTGTCAAACCTCAATACTCTGTTATTCACTTAAATACAAGAAGTTTAAAACAACATTTCGAACAAATGTGCAATCTTCTGGATTCGATTTCATGTAAGTTTGATTTTATCGGTTGCTCCGAGACATGGTTCACCTCTGAAACTGATTATACACGTTTTCAAATCCCAGGTTACACTTTACTCAATGAAAATCGCACCTTTTCGACAGGCGGCGGTGTTGCTTTGTATGTCAGATCAGGCTATTCTTTCTCAATTAGAAATGACCTCAAAATAGACTCAATTGAAAACCTATGGATAGAAACTAATGATATGATTGTGGGTGTCATTTATAAACCCCCAAATTTTTCAAACCCAGAATTTTTAGACAAACTTGAAAGAACTCTACACAATGTTTTTCTCTCTAAGAAAAAATGCATTTTAATGGGTGATACTAATATAAATACTCTTACAAAAACAAGTGTCTCTAAGGAATATATTAATTTAATACAATCAGAAGGATTCAGTCAGCTGATCTTTGAAGCAACACATATTACTGAAAATTCACAAAGCTGCATTGATCATATCTTTACAAATATTTCGACTTCCTGCTCAAGTGGCAGCCTCGCAGTTGAGATTGCGGATCATCTACCAGTCTTTACTATTTTGTATGACCCGAAATTTAGTCCTTTTCCTGATTATTTCGAATTCAGAGACTTTCGGAGTTTTGAAGATGAAAATTTCAAATTAGATCTACGAAGAGAGAGCTGGGATTCTATTTACAAATGCAATGAAGTAAATGAAGTTATACCAGGTTCCTACATATTTTCAATAAAGTATGTAGTAATTATCGACCTATCTCAGTTCTCTCCTCTACAAGTAAAATATTTGAGAGATGTATTTTTAATCAGCTGATGTTCTATTTTACGAATAACAATATGATTTCCCCAAAACAATATGGATTTAGACCAGGTTTTACAACCTCTGATTATCTGATTGACCTTATTGAAGAAATAACCTCCTCTCTTGATAAGGGACTTTATGTGGTTTCTTTATTCTTAGATTTAAGTAAAGCATTCGATACAGTAAACCATCAAATATTACTAAATAAACTTAAGTACTACGGATTACAACAAAGTGAATACAACTGGTTTCAATCCTACTTAAATAATAGGAAACAGCAGGTGCATGCAAATGGTGTTGCTTCCAATACACGTTTTATCTCCACTGGTGTGCCTCAAGGATCGATACTAGGACCTTTGCTGTTTATTATTTTCATTAATGACCTTCCAAAGTCTTCCACCTTTTTTTCTACCAGATTATATGCAGACGATACATCTCTAACAGCTTCTGGAAGTGATCTTGACAGTTTATTGCGTGAAATTAACAATCATTTACCAGCTGTCTACGAATGGTTATGCAGTAATAAATTGACCTTAAATTTGACAAAAACTAAGTTTCTTATCTTTATGCCTCGTCAAAAGGAAAGCTACAATCTTTATCCACCACTAACCGTAGCAAATGTTCATCTAGAGAAGTCCTTTTATGTAAAATATCTTGGTGTGTATATTGATTGTCACCTTACTTGGCATGACCATATTGATTACATATGTGGCAAAATTAGCAAAAATATAAATATAATGGTTAAGTTGAAGCATTATGTATCAAAAGCAACACTTACTAGTGTGTATTATTCTCTTATTTATCCTTACCTTACTTATGCTTGTACACTTTGGGGAAATAATTATAACGCTCCATTGTCTCAAATCGTAAAGTTACAAAACAAAGCGGTTCGTGTTATAAATGATGTTCCTTTAATGGAATCAATAACTCCACACTACACATCCTTAGGCCTTCTGAAATTTCCTGATATTGTTAAACTGAACACATGTATGCTTTTTTATGATTATTTCCACCATGAAAAGTTTCCTAATATACCTGTTTCATTAGTATCTGAACTACATAATTGCAGTACCCGCAGTGCATCATCCAATCAAGTTGCAATACCTATATTTCGAACTAATCTTAGGAGATTTTGCCCCAGCATTATTGGAAGTTTCTTTTGGAACGATATTCCGCAATCCATTAGAGACAAACCATCTAAAAAAATGTTTAAAAAAGCACTTTTACGCTGGTACCTGGCTCAATACTAATGAATCAATATCCGTTTTACGACTTTCTCAGCTATTTTGTCATTTTTCCTTTACTTTTTTATTAATAATCTTAAGTCCTTTGTTATACATAACTTTAAGGGGCACAATATTAGTTTATCTAGATGTGCCCCTCTCCTCTCCTTCCAATATACAATGTAATTCAATTTAAGTGTTGTAATTTCTATTTTACGCGTTTATTTCCTTTTTAAATCTTTATCTGTTACTATATTATTATTATTTTTTTTCAGTTATATTTTCATAACTATGTATCAGCTAGGAATTGGAGGAATAAATAAAATGAAAATGAAATGTTTACTTCTCATCACATCTTCAAGCGAAGTATCTCTTTTCAAGCGATTCATCTCAATGCACAATAATTGACCCTTATATTAGTTAAAACCCTATGGTTCATTTATATTAATGTTGTTTTTGCCCCTCACATTGACTGTGTTCGTTCGTATTCAAAACACCTTTACGAAAATAAAGGTCGTATAAGTCATATTTATTATGTTTCGAGATAAATGGATTATACGCTTTTCTAAGTTTCCATTTTGCGGTGACTTCAGTTTACATCTCCATAAAATGGTGAAAGAAATATCAAGAAACATCATGAGAGCTGAAAATTTTCAAAGGCATGTTTCTGAAACTCGCTAATACTGACATCAATATAGCGTGCTTGCTGAATGGGCGAAAACACAGAATTGTGATCACAAGATCATGTACAAATTTATGATAAAAGCTTAGCAAGATACAGATACAAACAAAAGCAAACCCCCTGAAACCTCGACGTGGGCTACACTAGTATGCTCTACTCAGTCACCAAACCTTTTCAGTAATATACAGTCGACTCCCGATAACTCGAACCCTCGCTAACTCGAACCTCGCGCTAACTCGAACCAAAATCGATTTCCCCTGGATTTCCGTCATACATTTACTGTAATTTTACCCTCGATAACTCCAACCCTCGATAACTCGAGCTCCCGCTAACTCGAACCAATTTTCGTTTCCCCTTAGGTCATTTTCTATATAATTTTACCCTTAATAACTCGAACCATGTTTTGAGCCCTTAAAAAGTCGGGAAAAAAGCCGTCTACGGGCGTCCGAAACATTGAATTTTGGATTTCCTATTGACTTGTTGTCGGAGTATAGTTTACTAGTGGAGGCTGATGTTGATTGTCACAGGCTAACGTGAAGCAGCTTTTCTTCTCAAAACAGTAAAACACATGCTCTATTTAGGCTATGCTTTGTTACTTTACGTTCTGATTTGTAATCTAGAAGTATCTTTTACTTTTCACTTGACATTTCTACAATTAAATGTGATTAAAATGTTCACTGTGCAATAAAAACTGTTGTTTACCTTACTCTCGGCTATTTTCTTCGGGATCCCGATAACTCGAACTCCCGATAACTCGAACCTTTTTTCGATTTCCCTTGAAGGTTCGAGTTATCGGGAGTCGACTGTAGCTGCTATTTTCCTCAAGTCGCTCTCTGTGAAGCTCCCGGATGGGATGTCCCGGTGAAGCTTTAAACTTGTGTGCGAAGTTCTCAGAGTTCCTATTTCTGTCCGTGTCTTCTTTATCCTCAGTATCCGAAATTTAGGCCTCCAAAGTGGCGTGTGTTGCGTTAAATAGAAGGAAATGTTTAAAGGAAAAGCCAGTTTTCTAACATGGCAAAGTTGTCACGTATTCATCTGCCATTCATCGGCAACTGAGTTGTTCGCTTCACTGACTACGACAGCTTACAATCAAGCCTTCAGTCATAGTGTCGTCAANCAAAACAGTAAAACACATGCTCTATTTAGGCTATGCTTTGTTACTTTACGTTCTGATTTGTAATCTAGAAGTATCTTTTACTTTTCACTTGACATTTCTACAATTAAATGTGATTAAAATGTTCACTGTGCAATAAAAACTGTTGTTTACCTTACTCTCGGCTATTTTCTTCGGGATCCCGATAACTCGAACTCCCGATAACTCGAACCTTTTTTCGATTTCCCTTGAAGGTTCGAGTTATCGGGAGTCGACTGTAGCTGCTATTTTCCTCAAGTCGCTCTCTGTGAAGCTCCCGGATGGGATGTCCCGGTGAAGCTTTAAACTTGTGTGCGAAGTTCTCAGAGTTCCTATTTCTGTCCGTGTCTTCTTTATCCTCAGTATCCGAAATTTAGGCCTCCAAAGTGGCGTGTGTTGCGTTAAATAGAAGGAAATGTTTAAAGGAAAAGCCAGTTTTCTAACATGGCAAAGTTGTCACGTATTCATCTGCCATTCATCGGCAACTGAGTTGTTCGCTTCACTGACTACGACAGCTTACAATCAAGCCTTCAGTCATAGTGTCGTCAACTGGTGAAATAGTTTGCTCATAAATTGTGCTTCTTAATTGCTCATGTACTATACATCGATCGATAATTCTCTCTTTGAGTTCACGAAGCGGCCCCGGCGTTCCAAACCTGACGCTCCCAGTCATATTTTAGTGTGAACCTACCGTGAACGGCGTGTCGGTCTGTATGCAACGTGAGCATTTCTCTGAGTTTCCCAGCGCTAACATCATCTAACTGACTTGAACTCAAACAATAAAAAACTCCTATGATCGAATCGCCTCGAACAACGCATATAGCCTTCTTCAGGTTCGCAACGCCTTGTGCGTTTTTCAGGAGGAGCGGAGACGAGGTACAAAAAGTATCCGTGCAAGGCTCCGTGCAAGGAAATCATATTGAACCATTTGTGAAAACATCGTTTCTCGGTACCAGACCCTCGTGTCTTCCCTCCCCTGGGAGGCCGTTTTTCGCCGCAGACGACCAAAAACCGAATTTATGACTGGGCTTGCCGGGCAGCCCAGTAATAAACATTTGTAAATTTGTTTTTTTGTGAAAAGCTAATTAAAATGCGAGGGGATTATGTATTAATATGCAAGGGGGATAGGTCACTTATCCCCCTCGCATATTAATACGTAATCCCCTCGCATTTTAATTAGCTGTTCATTAGCCCCGCTCTTTCCTTCAAACAATCAAAGCCGCACCCAGCTTTTCAGACAGTTGATTCGGGGGTTATGTAATATATTCCCCTCGAAAAGAACAAAGGAATCCGAGCTTATGTAAAAATAAGACACAATGTCTCCAGAGGATTCTGAATGTTGACTTTAATCTTATTTGCTCAAGTGTGCAGAATTTTTTCATAGATTTTAGAAAAGAAGAACCTGTTTCAAACTTTAAGTTAAACAGGTTATTTTATAGAAGAGGGCTTAACTGGCAAATTATAGCCTAAAAAATCCAGGTTCTTAGTCGCGGGGGTTGTACTGTATTCTCGGCTTGCACTGTCACGCAATGAAAAATACAAATGCAAACCATTCAATACAGAAGGACTAGAATCTGGGAAATGAAAAAAGATAAATATACAAAAACCCTTGTCAAGAATCAGGTCTGTGAAATATTTCAAATGCGAGATATTGGGAAAAACGGTTAACTTAAATTTATAAAGCTTTGTATGGAAACGCCATGTTGGTGTCCCTTTCAGGGAAACCAACAGAAACATCTGTTTTCGAGTTTTCCTACTAATGCGTGAATTATTCGCTTGAGGAACTCATAAAGATTACAGTAATATTTATTCTAAGACAAGGAATGTTTAGATTGCAAAATCTCCCAAAATCGGTAATTTTTTTAACCCACATAAGAGCTTTCCCGGCCGCCAGCTAAATGCCGCGTCACGCAAAAGCCTGGAAATTCAAGCGTCCTCTCCGCGCAAAACGAACAACCCTTTCGAACCAAAAATTGGTTTATGTAAAGGTGTTTAGGTACTGTAATACCTCGTGAAAGTAGAAACTAAGAAGAATCGATAGTTTCTTAGTTTGATTTTTGGTGACGTCACGTGCAACCCAAGAATTCCGCGGTTTACCAGAAGACAATTTAAATAATTACCGTAGTGCTATTATTACAAGTTTTCATGACTTATACAAATACTAGTGAAGGGGACCTTAGAGCGGCGAGATATATAAATGGAGCTAAAGTTACAAAAGTTCTTCGACTGTCGCTATATAAATGTATTTTATCGACAAACTTTAGACTGTTCACAGTCCTCTATTTTTCCGTAAGATCATCAAGATCGAGCGCTTTGCGTTACGGGCTACCATCTTGCATGAGTGTCAAAACTACTTAGGGGGCGGGGGTGGTTTGGAAGGAAGCGAGAAAAAAAATTTTCTAGCCCCCCCCCTACAAGCCATAATCCCCGACGCCCGCCCCTCGGTACATGTGAAAATCAAGATAGCCGTGACCGTAAGACGCGGTATATCTAAACGATCTCTCGAAAAAATAGGGAACTGTGAACAGTCTAAGAAACTTTTTCCAACGATACAGTACAAGTCCATGTAAGGGAATCCGGATTCCGGAATCCAAGAATTTTTTGCTCATGGAATCCGGAATCCTGGGCTTTGGAATCCGGAATCCAGTGCTAAGAATCCGGAATCCTACTTAAGATTGGAATCCGGAATCCAACTTACTAAACATCCACTCCAGATTAAATTGAACTCCTCGCTCGTAAGAAAAAACATCCGTGGGGGAGGAATGGATGCATGACGAACGAACCCCAAAGGACGTCTGCGGAGAGGCTAGTCTATGGAAAGCCTTCCGAGGGTATAGACCTGAACGTGACGACATAATATCGGCATATCTGGTGTCAAAACAATAGTTCACGAGCTCCATATGAAAGGTCGAGGTCACGGTCACGGTCACATGATTAAAATTCTATAAT